AATAATAATAATAATAATAATAAATCGTTAAAAATTTAATTCAAAAACTAAACGTATTTCAGACGAAGCAAGGTAGGTAATGACTTATTTTTTATACAATAATTATATTAATTTAATATCAAAATAATTTTGAAATTTGTAATTTAAGATTCAAAGTCAAATAAAAAGTTACTATACAGGGTGTTCCTAAATAAGTGTCGCAACGGGAAACTGTAAATTCCTCTTGAAAAAAGTAAAATTTTTTTCCTCTTCCATTTTTCTCTCCGGGCTTTCGATTTCGAGATACACGGTGTCAAATCTTTAATTTTTTTTTAGTTTTTCGCCAATATCTTAGGAATCGTTTGAACTACAGGACTGAGCTTTTGTACATTACCACTATTAATAGCTACTTTTTCGCACCTTTCTCGAATTCATTGGACGTGCCAGTGGAGGAGATTTTAAGGTATCGTAAGGGTTTCCCCCCCCTAAATTTTACGCCACTGAAAAAATTGACATTTGACAGCAAATTCTAAAGCGCCAATGAATTTTACACACTAAGAGTTCTCTTGGTTCATTGCTCTAAAGTCAACCGTTTTCAAGAAAAATGACTTTTTATGAACAAAAGCAAACATTTTGCTATATAACCTTAAAATCTCCACCACTGGCACGTCCAATGAATTCGAGAAGGGTGAGAAAAAATAGCTATTAATAGTAGTAATGTGTGTACAAAAGCTCAGTCCTGTAGTTCAAACGATTCCTAAGATATTGGCGAAAAACTAAAAAAAAATTAAAGTTTTGACACCGTGTATCTCGAAAACGAAAGCCCGCAGAGAAAAATGGAAGAGGAAAAAAATGTTTCTTTTTTCGAGAGGAATTTACAGTTTTTCGTTGCGACACTTATTTAGGAACACCCTGTATAATTTACATATTTAAAAATGTATTTATCTGCTCCGACTACAGTAGTAGACTATTAATACTTATATTGTTTTTAAGGAGGTAAGTGAATTTTACCGTAGAAGTGGAAGTTGCTATGGACAACGGGAGGTAAGTGAGGTAGCATACCTCCCTAGGGAAAAAAGCGATTTGGAGTTATAAATGCATATTTTATGAATAAATAAATAGAAATATTTGATGAACATTACATTTTATTAATTATTATGAATGAATATTTATAGTAATTACATTTAGTAACATTTGTAAAATCTGGATAATCATTCCCCTCGCGTTTACTAATTGTCGCATTTTTCTCAAAATGATTTGACCGCTCCATTTCAGTCACCGGAGGCTCAATATTATCTGACTGATCCATTAAAATAGCATGATGCGACGTACTATTAAAATCTGGAATTGTAGTGTCATTGTAAAGAATCCTGTCGGCTATTTCATTTTTATTACTTAAACTGTCCCCAACATAACTTTCTGCAATTGTGGCTGATTTCCACCCATCATGTCTCTTGATTGCAAATACATCAAATCCTGTATTAGCCAGTAACGTTGCCAATGTTCTTCGGAATGAATGGGCTGTATATGTTTCAGGATGTTCTAGTTTCAAAAACTGTGCAATCTTATTAAGAATCACAGAAAGGGTACCTATTCTTGCCGACTGGTTGGTTGTAACATCTACCTGCTTGATAGCGCATAAAAGAGTATGAAATTTCAGTTTTAAATTCAAATCTAATCTTGATATATTTTTCGAGAATTTCTAGGCGAGAAACAGAATCCAGTCTAGAAGTAATTGTAAACGTACGTGACATGCCATTTTCAGAATCTGGAATTGTAACTACAATAATGTCATCGAAATTTTTGAAATTGACTTTGTCCAAAGTAAGTTTGCATAACTCATCAAAACGGCATGCTCCTGCAATGCCTAAGACCGTCACTACCTTCATTAGCAAATATGTGTTAGCGGGTGCTTAAACGAGAAAATCGTTGACTTGTTCTCTTGTTTTTATCGTTTAACTTTTTAGCCGTCATTCTTTCATTTCAAAAATGCTCTCAGCTTGGGATATTTTGGTATATCCACGTTCTCCTCTATGAAAATAGTTGAGTTAATCATTGAGTATTGACTCCACAAATTCGCCGGTGCTTTTCCATGAAATATGCTAGCAGTGACATTTCAGAAACACCAGTATTTTTGTTCTGGCACCATTCTTTGCAATTTCTATATGCTCGTCCGTAGCGCACTTTCGACTTCACAGGCAATAAAAATTCGTAGGCAGCATTTGCTACACATTCTATTTGAAAATTATTGAATTAGAAATAATAATTCAAAACCAGCAAAATTGCAACTTTTATGTAACTTTGTTTATAAACACCTTAGAAACGACAAAATCCAAACAACCAAGGCGACTTTGCAAGATCTGGAATAATGTCAAAATGAATTGATTAAGAAATGTCAAAAAATAAAACCTAATGTTTTTTTCATGAGCCAAAAAGAACTGTGGGAGCGGATAAAATGTTATACACCACGCAGCAGTTAAGTGTAATTTACCAGTCTCTGACTCTATTGCCAGCCCTCGCTCCGCTCAGGCGCAAAATCGTCCTCGAAAGATAAATAATACTTGTCTCCTTTATGGTATAAAAATAACTATATCGTTAGAATAGACCTTTCTGTACAACAACCCCTCAAAGACAATCTTCTTTAGTATCTGTAAAATTGACAAAACCGGAGGTAGCATCATACATATCTCTGTTTCAAATACCTTCTAACGTAGTGCTATTTCTCTCTAATACTTTACATCGTTTATATAAAATTGTTCTTTCTATATTTAACTATTTAACGTCTTTTATCTCTTTCCAACGTCGTTTTTTTCTCTACGTCATTGTTTCGCTGTATCTATGAAACAGTTATTTCTCTCTGTAACTTGGCAGGTGGCAAAAGGCATCTGCTTTCCTATTATTAACAGGAAAATATAAAGAGGGTAGCAATAGCATATAGGCTAATTAGGCTTCTTCGTAACTGCAGAAACTTCCATGGAACATTCATGAATGATCTACATACCAGGGCAGTTCAATAAGTAACGTACATTTAGATGTGGATGAAGGATATTCGTTAAATACCGGTAACTATGTCCATGAAATGCAGGCAAAAAGGCATATCAAACCACTTACCTTATTTGAAGGGCTAGATTGTTGAAACTTCGATCTTGGGGGTTGTCCGTGGCACCTCCAGAGGTGGTGATTCCAGCTTGCGCATAATTTTCCTTTGGCTGAAGAAAAAGTAGATGAGTAAGATGAGTAGAAAATGTTTTTTCATATTTACCAATGGGGCGTAAACAAGAATTTTGAACCTTTTGTATTTATATTTGTCAGATGAATCTAAACAACTCCGTAAGCATATTTTATATTCTTGGTCTATGTGAATATTGAATATAATATTTGAATACAGATATAGACAGATTGAATACATTTGGATACTTAATAGCGAAATTTAAGTTATTTGTCAAAGATTGAACTCTGAATTTAGAATCCCTGCTTCATTATAGACACAAAGATGAGAATTTTTTAATATAATTTCAGTATTGGATAATCATTGGTATTGCGTAAAATTTTAGTCCGTCAAAATAGTGTTTACGAACAGCAGATCAACAAGTTCTAACCTAGTGACAGTTACCCGTTTTGCTAAATATGTTGATAAATATTTGCAAGTCGATGATAGTTACCCTGATTTTTCAAAGGCATCTGGTAGCCTTGACTAAGAAATAGTACTGTCAAGGCTTAATAAGTTTGGTCTCTCAAATTCCCTGTTAAAATTATCTCTTCAATAGATTTCAGTATATTCTACTTAGTGTCTGTGGATTACTTAGCCACATCTGGGGTCCCACAGGGATTTGTCTTTGGGCCCCTACTATTTATCATTTGTATTGATAATACAGCTAATTGTTTAAATACTAAATAACTTCTACAGAAAAAGTAAAGATTTTATTCGAATAAGCTCGCTAAAAAACTGTATTATTCTTTTGTTCGATCTAACTTCCAATACGCTGCACCCGTTTGGTCTCCTCGCTATAATTCATTTGTAAAGAATATGAAAACAGTACAAAGAACGTTTATTAAATTTCTTAATTTTACAATGGATGGCATATTTCCACCTATTGGTTTTTTCACCATCTGAATTGTTAAATCGACATTCGTTGAAAGTTAAATCGCATCAAACACACTTAAACATTCAAAAATTTTATTATTTTGTATAAAACCGACTGTAAACAGTAACGTAACTTTTTTAAATACAATTAAGGCTTAATATTGTCCAAAATCCACTTGGCGTAATAGGTAACCTTCGTGTATATTCCTGGGAATCCTTCCGTTCCACATAATCGATGGCCTATGGACACGACGCCACGTTGAACAAACCTGACGTCGTCGTTGAAATCAGCTGGCACATGGAAAGGACCTCCACCGTCGCCTCCACACGAATCCTTAATTCCCTCACCACCCGCGCAAATCTGTTTGTGGGATAGCTTGATCTGAGATTGGACCTTGTAAGCCTCGGTGCAGACAGTCATGTTGCGCTTCTTCAGGACCACCTTTTGGAGTATGTCGACAACGTTGTTACCTGGGTATAAATTAAAGAATAATATATTAAAAATTGGAGATGGTTCCTATCGTTACACGTAATATTAAAGTTAACCAGTAGTAAAGTACATTCATAGATTTAAGAAAATTACTGCTTGCGTGGACCTGAATTCAGTTGCCTCTTATCGTAAAATTCGATTTTCAACGAACTATTCAGTATTGCTCACATAGTTACTGTATTTGGAATAATCTCTTTCTGTTTACAAGTAAAATGTTTTTGATGGGAAAAAAATAGACGCGTGTGATCAGAGTAAAACAATAATACCGTTCAACAAAGGAAAAAAATAATAGTAATACATTTTGAATGTAAAAATGGTAGGCTGCCTAATGTACTTTCATTGGCAGCTAAAACTGTAACAGTCTTGCTTGGATTAACATGGAAATACCACAGCGAAGTTATCTGAGGATTCCATAGCAGACTCATAGTACGTTTAAGAGATGCCCAAAATTAAGTTTCTGCGACTTTAAATGGTGAGATAATCATTTATATATATTTTTTTCAATCAAGCTATCAAAAACATATTTTTAAATGCAATAAATTGCTTATAGGAGTGGTCACATCTACCTTTTGCGACTGAAGGTGAAGATCAAGAAATCACCCAGTAAATGCACACAAAATCATTTGGTCTATATTAAAAACAGACGAGCAATTCCAAAGGTAAACAGTAATTGTGAAAAAACGGTATTCGCATTATTTTTTCACGATATTCTAGAAAAGTACATTTAACTGTTCTGAAATCTAAACAGTTATTTTTTAGGAATTCATATAACCTATCACATCAAAATCTCTCACTCTCACTCACAAATCTCACTCCCAAAAATTCTTATCTTATTTGGGTCCTAAACTATTTAATATATTGCCTAAAAGAATAAAAAGTATTTCAAAAAAGTCGGTTTTAAAAAGAGAACTAAAGTCATTTATAATTGAAAACTACTTTGAGCCCATTTTTGGTTAGTATAGACTTTAAGTGCACACTTCTGCGTCCCCCCTTATATTTTACGTAAAATAATATTTTATTACTGTGTTTAGAGTCTAAACATAGTTTTTTTTTGTTTTTTTTTTGTCTTTTCTTTTATTTTTCTTTCTTGTTGTATAGTGGAGTGAATCGCACAACACAAATTTCACTTAGGTGCGATTCATGGTACTTATGTTTAATTACTTTGTTTTATAATCGAAATTATTCCTGTATTAATATTTTTATTTGTTACTTGCACCTGAATAAACTTACTTACTTACTTACTTACTTACATATTGTACGTTGATCAGAAATATGCTGGGCGAAGACCTTCCTATTCTAAATCATTAAATTTAGAAGACAAAGTTTAGTAAAATCAATTATTTTATCATATTCTGAAGTATGTATGTAATGATAGATAGAAGATGAAAGACTTTTTCATTCTTGAGTTACAAGATGTAAATTATTGAACAACCATAACAAAATCAAATCAAACGCAAGGTCCATTTTGACAAGATCTTATTTCGTCTGGAAGACAATTATTTTTTATTTTATTTCCCCTTAACCTGTAACTCCTTAACAGTGATTTAATTGTTCAACATTGAACATAAAAAAACAAACAGTATGTGTAATTAATGCTTTGTTTAATATTGATATTCATGAGAGAAATTACACAAGATTTTATGATTAAATTTATAGAAGAAAAGACAAAGACTATAAACGAGCTGATAGAGACAATGATCGTACCAAGACAATGAATGATAGGAATTACCAATCCAGTAAGAAAGAGGATATAAATGACTGTTTAAACTATAAAGATATTAAGCTAATTTAAACAAATTTATTTTTTTTTTCTGAAAAACATGGACAAACATTTAGAGAATTTACAATATGCTTTGTTTGTGCTTTGAGTAGTAGTAAAAATCACATAACACTCAAACTTCGTTAATAGACAAATAATCGAAAAATGCATATAGATCTGGATCAATCTTTCAACCGATTAGAATGATAATAGACAGACTAGAAGCAAAGCAAATAAAAAACAATCAAAATCAAGAAAAGTCAATTAAGATGGTTCCATTCGTATTGTACAAAACATCAGCAGTAAGGAGCTAAAATAAAAGGAAAAAACATCAGAAGAGGTCGATCATGGAAAAGATGGCAGAAAAATGTGAAAAAGCTAGCTAAAAACTGAGGTTCCATGTGTGAAATATGCAAATTTTGACAAAGTACTAAGTAAGCAAGTAAAAATAAAATCGTCAACAGACATAATTGATTTTTGTTTCATTAGAACATTTCATTCATATTCACTTCTTTATATATTGCAAAATATGATTATTTTCCATTTTGATCTTAATTTCAAATATCTTTAATCAATAACTGACATAATCCATAATATTTATCATGAATATGAGCTGGTAGTATCTTAAAAAAATAGATCGTTTTAATGACCTAAGATCAAAGATCTGATCTTAGATCTTGTATCTAGATACATTTTTAAGGACTAGATCTTGATCTATTTATAAAAAATCCTTTGAAACAGATCTGAACATATGATCTAAATTGAAGGATTTTAGATCCTGAAAAGTATCCAAGATCCCAAAAAAGATCTTAGATCTCAAAAATATCTTAGATCTCTTCAAATGCTAGACAAATATCCCTATATTAAGCAACTTTTTTTAAATTTAATACTCCATTGGCATCATCAGCCACAGTTGAAAGAATGTTCTCGTTTGCTACTTTTATTAATGCGCCTAGGCGAAGTACACTTTCCGATAAAAATTTTGAAAATTTAGTTTTACTTAAGGTAAATTCATTATGTACATAAGAATAATGTGTAAATTTACTGATAGAAAATATTTTTTGAGTTGAGTTGATAATATTATTTTGTATATGTAACAGAATACTAGTAAATGTTAAATATTTGACTATAGTTTCATTTCAGTATCTAATGCAGTGACATTCCAACAATTGGTTAGGTACTTCCTTTAAAAATTTATTTGCCAGCATGTGTTCTATTAAAATAAATATTTTGTCCAACATAAATTCCAATAACTGACAATGGCCCAATTTATTGGATCTCAAGATCATGTTTTGTAAATGATCTGAGAAGTTACCTACTTTTTGAATCTTAGATCTCCTCCAACGATCTAAGATATTTTTTTGATCTTAGATCATATTTAATGATCTAAGATACTGATCTTTGTAAAAAGATCTTTTATAAAAGTATCTTGTATCTGAGATCTTTCTAATGTCAAATGATCTTATTTAAAATGATCTATAGATACTTTTCCAAAAAGATCTAACATCTTTGATCTAGATCCTTTTTATAAGGATCTTTCCCAGCTCTGTGAATATATAATTAATGAAAGCAAATAAGAAATGGTATTGGCATTATGTCCTACATAATTATAATTACATTTGATAATCGATATAAACATTAAACTTTTAAGAATATAAATAACAGATGCGATCTAATACAATAGAATTCCGTATAATACAATTTCTAGAGAATTATAAATATAATATACAGGCTGTCTACTATAAGAGGGCCACTCCTATGTATCTCGCTTAATACACGATGCACGTCAAAAATCTTTATATGTTTTTTGTTGCATTTTTTGAGGCCTCTATCCTCGTAAAAACAGATTTGAGATCCATGGCCAACTTTGCGAGTAATCATAAAAAAAACGGAAAAGTACCACGCCTTTGAATTGCGGCTCTCTTCTTCTTTACTTAATGAAGCGATTGTAGTAATGCTTAATGGTTCGTACTTTTACATAAATTAAGTCAAATTCTTACGGTAAGGGTCAGTAAATCCCCAGCCAGTAACAATTCCCCTTTTGTAGTCTTGAGTTATAACCTCTTCATATACTGGCAGACATACTGGTTGAATGCTATCTGAAAGGAAATTTATTATTAAATAAACTGAGTTTCAATGTAATTTTTTTTACCATTTTAATTAATAGTTAGTAAGGAATTAAGATGTCCTTTAGAATAGATATCAAAAAACAGATATTTTTTTTCTCCCGGTAATAAATTTATTTGCCAATTAAATCAATCTGCCTCATAAAAAACACAAGTAAAAGTGTCATACTTAGATTTAAGGGCAAGGGTTCAAATTTTGGGGTACATGAGCCTTGGCCTGAATCTGGACTGAAGCAAAAAAAATATATATATTAAATTATAGTAATTAAATAATTTGTACCTGATTCCATATTAATTTTGGATACTCGTAACAATGCAATGTCATTGGAGAAACTCTTGGTGCTGTAATTAGGATGAACTATAGTTTTCTCCACGGTTAGATCTTGAGGGGATGGAAGGCAATCGTTTGGTTTTTGTTCTTCACAGTCCTTTTCCGATAAAATACTGTATTCCCCGACTCGTACTCCTACACTGTAAAATAGAGCAGAAAACATCACGTAGTGAAAGTATAAAGAAAGGCAGTTTTTAGGGAGAATAAATTACTTTCATTTTAATAATAAGGAAAAATTATGATAATTAAACGTTTTTTCAAATTTAGTTTATGTTATAAAATGTTTTTTTGTATTAAGTTTGCAAAAATTTAAAAAAGCTATTGAATAAATTTTTTAATAGTAAAGTACTTTCATAGATTTAAGAGAATGATTACTAGCATTAGATAAAAAAACAGCAGGAATTTAAACAAGATCGCACTGAATTAAGTTATTGTACAATACACTTAATAAATTAAAAATACGTAATCATTCACTCTTGTACATACATAAATACTACATAGATAAAATTAATAAAAATTTCATTGAAAGTCGTACCTACTAGAAGACGCCTTAAAGAGTACGCCGGAAAGGATGATTTATACACGATGGTGTCCCAGCTCATTTTAAAATTAATGTTAGTGAATGTCGATAATAAACAGAGAAAATATTCCGACAGGTGGATTGGTAGAAGGAAGCTGGTAGCTTTACCACCTCGATATCTATAGTGTAAACCACTTGATTTTTAATTTTGTTATCTATTGTTTACCCGAAAAAAATACCAACAGCTGAGGTACTTCTAAAAAGAGTTTTAAATAATCAAACTTTGAATTGAATTTGAACCATCAAAAATGCTCCGGGTGTTTTTGCAGCCACCTCCTAACATTTACCGTAAAAATTAATCTTATGAGGTAGTACGAAATGCAAATAACAAAGAATATTATTTTTTATGATTTCAGTTCTCTTCTTGTTGTGTTGTGCAAAACCGTACTTATCTTATCAACTTCGACGTCACCTGTTACATAGGTGTTGTATAACAATGAAAAAGAAATATTAACGGTCGATAGAAGGAAGCACAAAAAACAGGCGCTTGGGTAGGGAGTTCTGGAAGGAAGCCTAAATAGTCGAAGATAGGCAGTTGAAGTGAGAACAGTGTGCAGATTGGTAGCAAGACGATCGGCTGACAGTGTGTCAAAGTAGTGAAAAGTTAATTGTTTAAAGTGTTATTAGTTAGCAGGTAATATCCTTTAAGTACTTTGTTGTTAATTGTTCTATATAAGTAAGTTTAGCTTCCATTGCTTTATGCTCAAGGGCATATATTTTTCCAAGGTAAAATTGTTATAATTATACTTAAAGTTTGCCCATTATTTATTTCATGTTAAAAATATATGTATTGTCCTGATTGCCAGACATTACAATAACGACTTCTTTGTTTCACATCTAACTTGTTTTTGCCACGATTACGTTATACGTAAAATATAGATGTTTCATGATAATAATTCTGTGTATATGTTTGGCCTGCATTGTCTTACGCTCAGGGGCGTATATTTCTCTAAGATAAAACTGTTACAATTATTATTAAAGATTGCTCATTATTTATTACATGTTGAAATATGTATATATTGTCGTGTCTGCCCAGATATTGCAAAACAACTTCTTTGTTTCACATTTAACTTGTTTTATCTTGATTACGTTGTTCTTTGATTTCTTGTGCTCACTTTATGTCATGCGTATGTAAGAACTTTGCTGAATTTACTAACATTTTCACCCATTATTATTATTATTATTATTGTTGTTGTTCTCCGAAATCTCAACTCATAGCTGGATTGCATCCCGTATGGGACTCCAGTACCTTCCCTATTATTATTGTTATTATTATTATTGTTGTTGTTGTTGTTGTTGTTGTTGTTGATATTATTGTTACTAAAACCTCTTCAGTTTTACTTGGAAGTGTGTATGTCAGACTTGAATGAGATGACATTTAGTGAGAAATTAAATAAGTTCAGTCTTAATTATCATTAGCAAAGGTTCTTAATTTATGCCTTTGGTTAGCGGTTGTTTTGTATTTATATTTGGGTGGTAAGAGCAACGATCGTGGGTTTCTCTGCCATGCTCTTTCCCCGCAGGAGCTCTAGGTGAGCCTGGCACTCTCCTTTTATGTTTAATGGTTGTTAATGTTTTTGTTGTTATTTCTATTTGTCACATGTTTAATTTGAATTTTATGTAAATAAAGGTTAGGTGTATTTACTCTGCTTTTGTTTTATATAATTAAACCATGCATCCCCTCTACAAAGTTAGTAGCCAGCGCCTTCCGGTCAATAAAAAATAAATACATACAACGTAGGGATTCCTTATGTCGATCACATGTTTTTGGCCACAACTACGTTTACTTATTTTTTGTCGAACTTAGGGTTGTTATACTACAGTGTATTATTTTATTTCTCTTTTCTAGTAAGAGGTAGTTACAGCTGTAAAAGCACCAACAATTAAAAAATTTTTTTTTCATTGGTTCAAAACTGAGTTAAATATATTCAAAAACATAAACTTGCAAAATTTAATTCAATTTTGATTTACGACTTAGGTAATAATCAAGGAAATTCACTATTTTGAAAACTTTAAAGTTTGAAAGGGGTTCTTTTAAGGACATATGTTCAGAGGAGAAGGTCACATTTTACCTACTGAAATTACCATTCTATTTCTTACCATAAGTCCCAAGGCGCCATTCTGATACATATACTCTCTAATTGTTTAAGTTTTGAAGAAGGATACTTATTTAATAGTGTACTATGGTAACTAGCACCGTCATTGTATCCTTTTCGGCTACTCTTCACTTGATTCACCATAGACACCATATGCGGGGTGGTCAAATGAAAACGAAACAGAGCCAAGATTGTAGAAAAACGCTCAGACCCGTCGATTTTAGATTAAAAGAGGACATTCTTTGTCACCCAAGCAAAGGTAAGCATCACCCCAAAATATTTAAATGGCATTGGGGGTTGAGTAATGTTTCTTTTGAAAGCACTTACAATTCTCTTTACAACAGACTTTAAATTTTATAATTCTGTCCAATCATTTAAATATTTTGGGGTGATGCTTACCCTTGCTTGGGGGTGAAAGTGGCGGAGTCAAAAATACCAGCAAAGAATGTTCCCCTTTGATCTAAAATCGACGGATCTGAGCATTTTTCTACAATCTTGACGCATTTCCTGAAATGGCTCTGTTTCGTTTTCATTTGGCCACCCTGTATTTGAATTATCAAAACTATTTTCTTGGTCCACAGGAACTATTGAAGTGACTGGTTTTGCGAGAATGTCATATATCGATGACTATATTTATTATCCCATTAGAGACATTTTACTTGTATGTTCTCAAATCTACAAATGTACTTTACCTAATATTATATTTTTGATGTTTCATTGAAATATATATGCTGGGCCTCTTTATAAACGTAATACGAGGATACAGAAAATAAATATCAAATGTAAAAGTTTATAATAATTAGTACGACATGCCTTGAGTGCCTTTTTATTGTAATTTTAAATGTAGGTTGATTGTACAAGAAAAGTAGTAACCATTTGTTCAAAAACGGTATATGAAATAGCTTTGACGCCCACGACCCAATTTTACATGGCCACTCAAAATTGATAGGCAATTGAATTTCTCTCAGAAATATATGACACGCATTTTACTGACCATCATGAAATCAACGTTGTTCTTTCGGCGTATGCTATGAGTGCTAGTTCTAGGATTATTTGCAACGTTCTTCAAAACCTTCAGTGTTGGCAGTACTATTAAGCCAGTTTAAGTCGCGGTTATGATGTTTACAGTTAAAAATTTCGTAATCTCGAAATTCCTGAACAACATGAACAAATGAGCGCCAATTTCCGATTCATTTAAATCCTACTAGCCTTGGAAAAGTTCCCATGGGTTTCGCTGTAAGCGGATACACTGTTTGAAAAACCGAGAATGATGCACAGTCACAACTGTTAATACCCCTTGATTCTCTACTTAGAAACTTATTTAATCTATATTACCTTTGATTACTTAAATATGGTTAAAACTTTAGCACATTTCTCCAATACCCTGCATATTGAAGGAAAATGAGTATTACAAACCTCGTGGTCTGAAATTTACTAAGTGCTCCAATAGTTCTAAATGAAAAGTAGATAAAACTTTAATTTACATAAAATTTGAATTTCAATTACATACGTCCAAGCATTCTGTCACGGATTAATGTTAAATTTGCAGAAATTATTACCTGGACAAAAAAATATTATAGAAGTATAGAAAATTAAATTTTAAATCGAGTTTCTTGTTCTTTAAACTCGATCCAAAATGGCGAACATGGTTAAAAAAAATTGCAAAGTCGCAAAAAATGGTTTTTCTAAAATAACTAAAAAAATATAACACGGATCGAAAAATTTTAAATGAGAAAGTTGTAGGTTTTAAAAAGATCTATCGACTGGTTTTTTGCAAGTGTAGATTGCGTTGTTGCTTTTCGAGATATATCGAAAAAACCGTTAAAAATCTTCTCTTTTCTCTTCTATAACTCGTTTACATTTACGTTCCCATACTTGCTATTTACTGCTGGCATAGTCCGCGGCAAGCCAAAAAAGTACATTTTTGAAAAATTTAAAATTATTAATTATTTTTCGAGATATATCGATTTTTTGAAAAAAAGGCGCTCTCGAAAATTGGCTAGATCTTCTCAGCGGATAGCCCTACAGTAACGATTTTCGGTTTATTTTCTTCGTAAAGAGTTATATTATCATGCTGTTAAAAAATGTTGACGATTTTATTAATTTTAAGGATCAAAAAATGACTGAAAAAGTTGCACTTTTTTTGGGTATGTTTTTTTCAAATAACTATTTCAATTTTTATTATTTTTTTGTACTTAATCTGGGGTAGCTAAACACGAATATTATAGCATTTTCGCCTTAGAAGCAAAATAGACCCGTAAATGTTTAGTTTTCTTTCTTTAAAAGTCATTTTCATAAAATAAAAATTGAAATAGTAATTTGAAAAAAACATACCCAAAAAAGTGCAACTTATTCAAAGTCATTTTTTGATCCTTAAAATTAATAAAATCGTCAACATTTTTTAACAGCATGATAATATAACTCTTTACGAAGAAAATAAACCGAAAATCGTTACTGTAGGGCTATCCGCTGAGAAGATCTAGCCAATTTTCGAGAGCGCCTTTTTTTCAAAAAATCGATATATCTCGAAAAATAATTAATATTTTTAAATTTTTCAAAAATGTACTTTTTTGGCTTGCCGCGGGCTATGCTTGCAGTAAATAGCAAATATGGGCACGTAAATGTAAACGAGTTATAGAAGAAGAGAAAAGAGAAGATTTTTAACGGTTTTTTCGATATATCCCGAAAAGCAACAAAGCAATCTATACTTGCAAAAAACCAGTCAATAGATCTTTTTAAAACCTACAACTTTCTCATTTAAAATTTTTCGATCGGTGCTATATTTTTTTAGTTATTTTAGAAAAACCGTTTTTTGCAACTTTGCGATTTTTTTTAGCCATGTTCGCCATTTTGGATCGAGTTTAAAGAACAAGAAACTCGATTTAAAATTTAATTTTCTCTACGGTCATTTTTTATGTATATAATGCATAATCATTATGCATTATATAATCATTTCTATATAATGCTTGGACTAATTAGTAGAAATTCTGTGGTAATTTTCATAACGAAAACGATAATGTATTATCCATAATACTACAGTGTTTTATTTATTGTCGTGTGCTAATATTGGTTGATCGTAATTACATATTTATTTCTAGGTCCGGTACTTCGAGTCCCGATTAGGAAATGATTAACTAATCAGGCGATTACACTGTGAATATATTTTTATAAAATAAATCAATACATTAACGGTCTAATCATGTCATTAATTAACTTAATTTATCAATGAAACATTATATCAATTGTTTGTACCAGTAGTATTATACCTACAGAGGATATGGAGTCTTCACTATACAATGGGCTGCTGTCAGGATGTAATTTTCGTTTATTATGCTTCCACCACATTTAAATTCGCGCCCAGTATCTGAAAATAACATAATAATTTATAATTTAGTTTCATACAACACATACGTCACTAAGTTAGGCATATTTTAACATATAAAATCGATATTAATGTGAAGTCGTCCATGGTTAAACTTTTTGCACAGGTTGCGTAAAAATTCACTCTCCAGCAGTTAAGGGTGAGTTTTATAGGATGAATCAGAAAACAAAGCTCAAACAAAACTCCAAATTGCACGATTCTTTTAATATCTAGTTATTATAAAAAAATAATATACACGTCACTGATATCTTTAATTTCGCGATTATTTTTTGTAGGCCTCGTTCATTGCATGACAAAATATGTCTCAGCATTTTTTTGTTAATAATTTAGTTTAGCATTAACTAATTAACAATAACTTATACCGCATAAATACTTGTTCGAGCGTTACCTATTAGAAAGACACTGCCGTTTTCCGTTACGTTCATACAACTCCATTGTTGTCTACAAGAAGCAGGTACATTTTTAAAAACCAGTAATATCGCTGGTGGACCTCTTTCAATAGGAACTTCCGAAATAGAATAGAACATTTTTGATGTAGTATATGAAAAATTGCTAACGATATCCATGTCAGCGATGTCAGCGTAAAAACAGTACGGACCATTTTAAAGGAGAACCAGAGTTATATCTTTATTTTTCAGCGTGTTCAAGCTCCATTGCCATGTGATTTTCGATATTGATTTAATTGGTGTCAATCTTGACATCAAAAATTTAAATGTTCAGATGAATCAAATTTTTCAAGGGATGATATTAACGATTTTCAGAATAACCATGTTTGGAAACAAGAAAAGCCTCATGCGATACTGGAAATAAGACACCAAATAAAATTATATACTTTCTTTCAAATGAATGGTGATTTCTATCACTATTTTATTATTAAAGTGGTACCTGAAGTCCTGCAAGATTCGTGTTTGACAATTGTTTATACATTTTGCTGTTCAAGAGTATCTCAATAAAATATTTCCCTATCGCATAAGCGTCTTGGCTTCTTCATTAAGGTTCTACTATATTATTATTTTTTCAAACAAGGATTTTTAAATAGTTTTTTATTTTTAATAAAACATTTCTTTTTTCTAGAACTGATTTTTAAATGAAAAAATGCTGAGATGCCTGACGTTGGATAATAAACTGTGGTGGCAGAAAATACTCACAAAATTAAAAATATCGGTAGCGTGCATGTAATTTTATAGTATTATTGGAAACTATTCTACACACGTCCCTGGTGTGATGATAAAATATATTTTTATTAATTAAAAAATGATCCCTAATAGACAGTTTAATGGTACAAAGTTTGAGAAAAAGAAAACATTCATTATCAAGATATTAAAAAAAGAACAAAAAATATTTAATCTGCGCCCTGTATTTGAAAGGAAGACCTTTTTGAATATTATGTTATCAACTTTCTTTTCAAAAAATAATTTAATGAATCACGCTGTGAAATACTTTAGACTGCTTTGGAAGACTTCTGTTTTTCAGAATAATATGCAGTAAATACACATAACTCTGAAATTTATTAGGTATGAAATAACTACATCCAATGATCTTAATCTGGTCACCAATGTCAGTATTATTTATTTAAGGAAAAAAATAGTACCTGTGTTATACGCCAAAAGTGCCATCCAAGGAAAGTCTCTCAATCTTGCTTCAGTACCGCCTCGAATTTTTTCATCAGAATTGATCTGACCGCACTCCTCCGGAAGTAGCTTAAGATTTTCATGGTTCAGAACATCTGGTGGTGGAGGTGGAGGGACTTCTTTGTTTCTTCCACTTATATCAATAGGATCCGAAGGACAACAAATTTTTGTGTTTATAGCTTCGTCCTCGTAGGTGCAGACATATCTGTTCAGCAATTCTTTTACATCGTTGGAAAAAGGTTTCGGAGAGTTATTCAGGAAGTCTATCATCGTAGGGCACTGCCCTATGGAAAGGCACCGACCGCTTTTGTTATCTGGTGTGGTACAGCTTTGTTGTGCCCCTGTATAGAACGTAACAATGTATTAGTTATACAATAATATGCTAGCATTGAAAATTTAATTCTCAGAATTTAAATAATTGTAGTAAAAATGTCCGGAAAAGTTGCATAAAAGGCTCTTATGTCATATTTTTACGCAGTTTCTTTTGATAAATGCAGAAATACAAGCATGAAACTGCTCCCAACAGCATTAATGTAAAGTGGGGAAAGTTGGAGCGGTAGGAGAAATAGACTACTAACAACAACTTTCAAGAGATGACAACAAATCAGCTTTCCAATAACACACAGTTGTATAAGCTCACTAAAGTGAACAATAATCTAGTTGAACAATCTCCTTTATTAGTCCATTATATGTACTCTTGTGATGTAAGATAGCTGAACCAGATGTATGGAGGGAAAAGCAGACAATAAATGAAGAAGTCATGCTATCGTATTTTTCAAATTTGAAGAAAAAATATGGACTTTCATCTGTCTGGTTGAAGTATTCGATGTTGAAGGCTACTATAAAGGTATACAAAAATATAGATAAGATTACTGCTTATATTTGAAGAGTGAAGCAAAAAACTGCAGTATTGGAAAGAGCACATATTGAAGAATTTTTACTGGGGCTTCCGATAAAGAATATTTAATGATTAAGGTAATATCTCTTTACCTTCTACATGTTGTTAGTTATATAGTGAATTATTTAAGGTTGCACTAAGAATGGGGGTGTCTGGTGCCTGCTGATGCTGCGAATTGACAAATTTGAAAATTAGTGACGTACAGGTCGTTGGCAGATATCTTTTTTCAATACTTGACACCAAGACAGGCATTTCAAGAAAATTTACAATTATAGAAGAAGGATTTTTCGTGAATGCTGTTGAAATATGCAGAAAATATATTTCTCTGCGCTCAATTCGCCTAACACAAGTCAGATTCTTTTTAAGGTAAATCAATCAAAAATGTACTTCTGGACTTAACACATTGGCGAAGGTACTCTCAACAGTTGCTTCATTCCTGAATATCGCAAATCCAGAAGCATATACTTACCATTGTATGAGGCGCACTTCTACAACGTTATTGGCCAATAAAGGCGTTGATCTTACAACCATCAAAAGGCATGGTGGATGGAAGAGCTTCTCTGTAGCAGAAAGTTATGTTGAGGAGTCTAAATCTAACAAACTTGATATTGCAAGGAAATTCCAAGGAAAATATAGCTCTTCCTTACAAAAAGAGACATCCGTAACTTGTGCAAATTCTTCACAAACTTCGGCAGATGTGATGCGTTCCGAAAGTGATGGCAACATTGCTACAAGGGTTGTTATTGACGGAAAGGAAGTTAAATGTGATAAAACAAGAAATGAAAAAAATACTTATTCATAGAAAAGATTTAAATAATGACGTCAATCCTCTACTGATGGCTTATAGCTCAGTCGGTGGAAGTAATTTTGCACCAAAAGCACAAATAATTAACAATATGGCTGATTTTTTTTATTAGTACATCAAAGTATGCAGATTAATATAAGAAAAAGTTCACTGGTCTATCGATTTTCCAAACTCCAAAAAAATTTTGAAAAACATTTTGATTTTGAAAATTCTTTAATATTTTGGACTGGGATCAAGATATAGAAAAATAAAAAAATACTATCTTGTAGAAGAAGTTTTCCAACGAAAAAGATACTTTGCACTGTTTTCTTCCGAGCTATGGATTGTCTGGAAATAGTTATTTTTGTATCTAGTGCGCGAAATGCTACTTTGGTGATCGAGAATTGAATTTTTTAACGAGACGAAGCCGAGTTAAAAAATTATTAGAGACCACCAAAGTAGTTCGCGCACGAGATGCAAACAATATTTTTTCTACAAACGTCAAAATCTATCTCTTAAAAATATTATAAAAAAGTAAAATGCCTAATTTATTATAGAAAATAGTGTTGAGAACCTCGGCCACACTTCTTGCTAATGCTGGGGGTGATATATGTAGTTTGAAGAGACACGGGGGATGGAAATCTTCCACCGTGGCCGAAGGATACGTGGAAGATTCTATCAATAATAAGATTCAAATATCAAATAAACTTTTAGATTGTGAAATTTCAGGATCACATGGTATCACCTCTACCTCAAAAATTAGTAGTGTTTCAACCCCCAAAACCCCAATATCCCGAGCTGAACCTGAATTATCTGGTTTAGGAATAAATATTGGTTCGTGTACTGGTTGTACGATTAATGTTAATATTGTAAATAATAACTAAAGTTATTGTAAAATTCTATCATTATTTTAAAAGTATTTAATTGTTATTCATTTAAAAATAAATAATAATTTGGAGTTTTGCTTCATTTTTTCAAAGATTGAAATACAAAACTCTTATTAATTCACATGCAGTGTGCGAAATACTTCGCACCCTAGTGCGCGAAGCATTTCGCGCACGGTGTCATGGTAACGTAAGAATCCGAAAAAAAGTGTTTGTCAATGCGCAAACCTTGTCATTTTTTGACGTTTGTAGAAAAAAATTATTAAAACCATGAAGTCATCTTCCGCGGGCATTTCAAACGTAAGAATTGTCAAATTTCTCTCAAATATTGAATACATTAATATGTAGAAATGAATATTCGATCTTAATTCAATGCAAAAAAATAAAATATTTCAAAAAATTTTCAAAATTTTGTAAAAAAAATTTCCAAAATTTTTTTTTTAGATTTTCGAATATACTCAAGGTAGTAAATATTAAATACAAGGTAATATTTGCATATTTTTATTAAAATCAGGAAAAAAATTACATAAACTAATGCAAAAAATTAAAGGGTCAAAATAATTTCCGAAGTTTTTTCGTGATTTTTGACAGTGAAAAATGGTCGTATCGGGAACTTAAAAAAAGCATTTTGAAGCTCTAATCGACAAAAAAATATTGCAAATTTTCTTTTTTTGATTTTTTTTTCAGCTAAGCCATTGCATGGACCGGATAGCTTGTTTATTCAGCTTCAATTTCCTTTTTTTAAAATTTCGATACGACCATTTTTCATCGAAATGGACTTTTAATGAAAAAGGATATTTTTTTCTTCAATCATCGATATATCGGCGACAAATGGTCGTACAGAGAATTGAAGGGCAGTTTCGAAAACTGGAATAAATTTCCTATAACATGCTGCTGCAACTTTTCGGAAAAAATGTTTTTTTTTTATGTTTTACACAATTTTAAGAAACAGGAAATAAAGTGTAATTTATGGTTTTTTAGAAAATTGACAGCTAAATTAGAAATACTCACGAAATGGCTAATGTTAAGCATGATTTTTACAGTTCGATATACCCAGAAGAACCTTGTGAAGTTTCATCTCGATCTAGCGAACCGTTTCTTTGTCCAAATAGTAAAACTTTTGAAAAAATTAAAGGATCACGTTTTTTGAGCTTAAACACTTCATAATCATGATTAAAATGGGAAAAAAATTTTTTTGAGGTTTTCTCACATTTTACGGCAAATAACGTTTAATTTGATGAAAAAAAATTGAAATTTTTGTCCAAAGAAAAAGGGTAGTTTTGAAAAAAAAAATTTAAGTGATTACAGACTGCACGAAAATTAATTAGAAATTAGTCTCGAAAAACGGTATGATTTGGGGTCGAAATCTGGTTTGGGTCATCAACTTTAATTTTAATTTAATTAAAAGTTGATGAACAGAAGCATAGTGCGAAAAATCAGAATCGTGCTGGAAACAATTGTTTTTTTTTGTCAATGTCCGGAAGGTTTTCCAAAAAAAATTTAGACTCCCTACTTGAAAATGGGCTAGCACAATTATTAATTTAATGCCCTATAACTACGCAATAGTTTATAATGTAGAGCGCCCGACTTCAAAATATAGGTTCTCACGCGGCTGACCGAGCTTCGCGCACGCAATACATACCTGATTTATAGAATTTTTTCCGGCCAAACCATAGCTCGTACGAAAAAAGTACGAAGTATCTTTTTTTTGTTGGAAAAAACTTACCCTACATGGAGATATTTTTTATTTTTCACACTCTTGATCTCAGTCCAAAATATTAAAGAATTTCGAAAATCAAAATTGTTTCAAAATTTTTTTGGACTTTGGGAAATCGACAGACCAATGAACATATTCTTATATTAATCTACTTATTATTAATCTACTTATACTTAGTACTTATAAAAAAAAACAACCATATTGTTAATTACTTGTTTCTGTGGCCTCCACTGACTGCGCTATTAAGATATTACGTACTAATTTTCGCGTTAAACTTCTGTCTCGAAACTTGTTATAAGCCAATGTTTTGTTACTTTTTAGAAAGTATATGCATTTTGTGATAACTGATCCTGATCTATGTGACATCAAATTTAAAAATCACTTCTGCGGGATACAGTGGAAATTGGTGAAATGATATTTTCATATCTGTTATACAGAAGACGTCTTTCAGATATCGACCTTGGTTCGGTTGTCCTTGACCTCGGTCAGTTTCTTAAGAGGGAAATGGGATTAAAATACAATTGACGGTGTTTCTTGAACAAGTTGATGACAAACGGAACAAAACCACAAAAGTTGAATGGCAACAACAACTTCTAAAATAAAAGTAGCTTCACCAGTTAGAACGATACTTTTGGAAAGTTTATATGATACAAGTTTTGTTGTATGTTTGCATTATTAATTTCAAAATAATTTGAATTTAATCAGAAATTATTAAGTTCTTGTTCTTTATTCAAGACTGAATTGTTTTATACTGAAGAAATAAAGTTGAATACTGAAGACTGAATTGTTTTATACTGAAGAAATAAAGTTGAATACAATGGAAGTCGTTCTTAGTATGGGAAACATAATTATGTTTCTAAAAGTTGTTATTTCTTCAAGGAAATTATTTATTAAGTCAGGTGATAATTACAATGTTTTTTAATTTAATCATATTGTTTTTCGGAAAAAGGACTCAATATTGTAAGACTTTCGTAAAATATGTATATATCAAATCCATAATAAGTATATTTGTACCACTCACTAAATATAAAACAAACAAACTTTTTTATAAAAGTCGCGTTTTAGCGTATATTTATGTCATAGAGAGCAAGGTGCAACCAAGTGTTAAAAAGTGATAACTACCAAGCAATTAACTCACCTGCATATCTGGATAGAAAGAGTAATAGAACAATTTTAACCGCAAACATTGTATTCGTGTGTGCACTCTTCACTATAGATTCGAAACTGCCGAAAGTTTATAACATCGGCTTATAGCTTGCAGTATTACTGCAGTTTATTTTATCTGTGCCGCAGATCTCTTTCGTGATGTTAACCCCCCCTTTGACGCCAAATTTAAACAGTAATTTTTTCGAACTTTTCGAAACCTTACATTTGTTGAAATTCGAAAATTTGTTGGCCTCACAAATCAGTAAGTCATTTGTAAGTATTTGTGACTCACCCGTTGAGGGGTACCTACTAAAAAAATAAATTGAGACCAATTTCACGGAGGTAAAACAATATTTGTGGGTATTAGTAAGCTTTAAACTAGAATTTGTAAGTATCTAGGACGTCTATCTAATAAGGAAAATTGATGATTTGTGCACTTTGGGATAATTAAAAAAAAATAGTTCAGAAATATTCTATTCTTGGAGGCTAAATATTTTTCCCAGGAACTTCATAAGTTCTATTAATATTGTATTATTAGGTAGGTATACTATTAATAAAAATGTGTACTTCTTTTTTCGTTTAGTTGCTATATGAATGAGAAATAATAAATATTTTTATAACACATCCAAGATTTTAAAACCCAAGGTAATCTAAGTCTCTAGACATATTCAGGTTATGCCTGGGATTTTACTGTTCATTATGACGTCTGAAACTAAACGTATATGTTAAATTGGGAAAACCAGAAATCCGAAACTGTATACTTATAAGACGCGGACTTCTGCCATCACGGAAAACGATGACGACATCAGTATTTTTTTTATAAGATATACAACTTTATTAATAATAATAATTTCTTTAAAAAATAACTTTAAAAACGCATTTTAGACAATGCAATGCAGGTAATGACTTATTTTTTATACAATTATATTAATTTAATATCAAGATAAATTTGAAATTTGTAATTTGAAAATCAAAGTCAAATAACAAGTTAATATACAGGGTGATTCAGAAATGATGACCAAAAATGAAACCTCGTATGATTTGGAGAATTTTAAGGGGAATTTTTCCTATAAAGTTTTTATATAGGACGCGTTAAAAAGATACATGGCGTTAAAGTTCAAAAATATTTTTAATTTTTATAAATAATTTAAAAACTAGTAAGTGAAATAATTTAAATTTGGGCACATGTACGAGGGTGGTCTGAAAAGTTTCCGACCTAACAAAGATACAAGACATTTTTTCAGAATTTTTTTTTATTTTTCAACATAGTCTCCTTGTAACTCTACACACTTCTCCCAGCGATGCTCCCATCTCTGTAACCCGTCCAAATAGTACTCGGCGTTTTCTCTGCAAAATAATTGTTCACGAAGGTGATTGCCTCTTCATTTGACGAAAATATCTGTCCTCCGAGCACAATTTTTAGATGAGGGAACAAAAAGAAGTCCCTTGGGGCTAGATCTGGTGAGTAAGGTGGATGGTCAAGCAGTTCAAACCGTAATTCGTGGATTTTCGCCATTTCAACCGCGGAGGTGTGAGACGTTGTCTTGGTGAAACAGGAATTTCTTTTTCTGCAAATGTGGCCGTTTTTCCGCAAGTTCTGCCTTCAGCTTGTCAAGTAATGATGCGTAGTATGCTCCTGTAATGGTTTTTCTTTTTTGAAGATAATCGATTAAAATAACTCCATGACTATCCCAAAAAACAGTCGCCATCACTTTCCCAGCCGAAAAAACAGTTTTTGCTTTTTTTGGAGCCGGTTCCCCCTTTGCAGTCCACTGTTTGGACTGTATTTTTGTTTCGGGCGTATAATGGTGTATCCAAGTTTCATCTACAGTAATTAATCGGCGCCAAAACTCGGATTTATTGCGCCTAAACTGCGCCAACAGAGCGTTGGAAATGTTCATTCGAACACGTTTTTGGTCTAACGTGAGCAAACGCGGCACCCAACGCGCGGACAGCTTTCTCATGTTTAAATGTTGATTTAATATGTGACAAACGCGTTCTTTTGACATGTTCATAACCTCTGCTATCTCTCTCACTTTAATTCGGCGGTCGTCTAGCACCATTTGGCGATGTTTTCGTCGGTAGTTGCAGTTTTTGGACGTCCCGAACGTTCATCGTCTCCCAAGCTCTTACGGCCACATTTAATTCAGCTGCCCAAAATTTCACTGTAGTAAATGATGGTGCAGAGTCCCCATACACAGAATCCAACTCATCTTTGATTTGCGTAGGCGTATTGCCTTTCAAAAACAAATATTTAATGACAGCTCGACACTCGATTTTGTCCATTTTCATAAAAACACTCACATCAACTCACTCAAACGACTGTTACATAACAATTGCGCGTCCAAAATGTCTGAAACTTTGGTGAGTAACTGTCAACAGATGAACAACGAAATTCACTAGCTTTTATTTACGAGTGCTGCCATCTTCATGTTGAGGTCAGAAACTTTTCGGACCACCCTCGTATTTATGTAATTATTGTCCAAAATCTCAGGCCATTTCTTAAAATTTCCATGCTCCAGTGGCGGAGGGTATCGGTGGCATATTTTTCTCAATAAAATAGTAGGCCACTGCTCTACGGTGACAACCATGATATTTTCCTCTTCGTCTATCAATTTTCTACAAATTACTGCTCTCTTATGTTTTTCGAAAAAAGCCTAATTTTCGAATAAAACTTGAAAAACCAACTGAAAACACATGTACTTAAATGATATGACAAGCAATAATCATTCGGTTATTCATTCGAATAAAGAAATTAATATCATTAGTCATCATTTTAATGATTTTATTTGAGTAAATGTTCAAAAATACCTCAATTTCCACGATCACAGGTCCGACACCTTTTTAGTAACGAAAATGTAATTTGTTCGTTTATTGCTGCTTGAATATGATGAAAAGCAATATTTATTCTTTTTTCTATTTCTATTCTATTCTGCTCAGAATTTCGAAGTTGCTATCGCAGCCCTCTATGTAATTTTAAAAAGCATTATATTCGAATATCGAATTGTGTTCTCAGTTAGTTTTTTAAGTTTTACTCGAAAATCAGGCTCTTTTCGAAAAACATAAGAGTAGTAATTTGTTGAAAATTGAAAGACGAATCCGAAAATATCATCATTATCGTAGAGCAGTGGCGTACTCTTTTATTTAGAAAAATATGCCACCGATACCCAGTATCTCCGCCACTAGAGCATGTAAATTTTACGAAAAGTCCTCAGATTTTGGACAATGTTTACATAAATACATGTGCCCAATTTCAAATTATTAGTACTTAGTAGTTTTTAAATTATTTATAAAATTTTTAAGTTTAACCCCCTGTAGCTTTTTAATGTACACTGAAAAAAGGATTTATTTGGACTAAATAAATGTCGTTTGCCATGAACTAATCCTAGTTTTGGATATTGCCTAGCTTATATAGTATGAAAAGTAACTAATAATAAGTTCATAGTTTTGTAATAAATCTTATTTGAATGTTAATTTATTTTTACTGTAATATTACATTCCGCATCTTTATTATTAATCTACATATTTTAAGATGTAGATGACATAAGATTATTAGAAATATATCTTAGCTTAATGTGAACTAACAGTTTTTCATTGAAAATAGGTTATTTTAATATTAATAAATCAATGGTTTATAAAAAGTGAATTGTTTTTTACACTAATATTGGACGTATTTCTTTCTTGATTAGTCTCAAAATTATGTACTTTCTCAAATTTAATTAAACTGATAATTAGATAACTTATCTAACTATAAGTTTATAATTAAATTTGAAAAGGTACATAGTGTTGAGACCTACTAATAGAAAAAGCACATACTAGTATAATACAACACTTTTATTCGAACATTTCATTTTTACTAAAAATTAATTTTAAGACTTAAATATATCGTTCAAAACTACGTGTCATAGTTGTTGACAGTTAAATGATTAAAAATAATTTTCGGATTTTTAAATTGGGTTTTATTATAAATTTATGAAGCTACAACAGCAACACTATGTCCTTATTTAAAACTGACTTTTTGACGATTATTACTTGTTTGGCCCTAGCTTCNTTTACGAAAAGTCCTCAGATTTTGGACAATGTTTACATAAATACATGTGCCCAATTTCAAATTATTAGTACTTAGTAGTTTTTAAATTATTTATAAAAATTTTTTTTTTAAGTTTAACCCCCTGTAGCTTTTTAACGTAGCGTCCTAGATAGGACCTTAAAGAAAAGAGTCCCGTTAAAATTCACCAATGAATACGAGGTTTCCTTTTTGGTCACCATTAGTGAATTACCCAGTATAATTGGCATATTTAAAAATATATTGTCGTTAGAATAGACCTTTCTGACCTCAAAGACAATCCTCAAACTGTTATCTTTTTTAGTATCTGTAAAATTGGCAAATCCGGAGGTAGTGTGATACAACTCCATCTTTCCAACACCTTCTAACGTAGTGCAATTTCTCTCTAATATCGTTTTCCTCCCATAACATCGTTCTTTCTTTCTGTAAAATTGTTCTTTCTATATTTAACGTCTTCTATATCTTTCTAACATCGTTTTTTTTTCTAAATCATATCTATAAAACAATTAATTGTTTCCCTCTGCAACTTGGCTGGAGGCACAAACCACCTGCGCTGCTATTACTAACAGGAAAATATAAAGAGGGTAGCAATAGCTAATTAGGCTTCTTCATGATTGCAGAAACTTCCATGGAACATTTTGAATGACCAGGGCTGTTCAATAAATAACCCATTTGGATGTGAACGAAGGATATTCGAGCTACGTCCATCAAATGCGGACAAAAAGGCATACCTACCTATCGTATCTAAATGGATAGAGAGTTGCAACTTCGCTCTTCTGGTGTTTTCAGCTTGCACATAATTTTCCTATGGCTGAAGAAAAAGTAGATGAGTAAGATGAGTACAAAATGTTTTTCCGCATTTACCAATATTTATTTATGCGATATAATGGGGCGTAAACAAGAATTTTGAACCTTTTGTATTTATATTTATCAGATGAATCTCAACAACTCCCTAAGCATAATTTTTAATTATTTAGCCAAGCAATCCCTATGTGGATATAACATTTGAATATAGGTATAGACAGATTGAGTACATATGGTTACTAATAGTGA